GTAGTCCCTGAGCGTCGCATCATCGTAGTGCAACAGAACTCCATTTTCGTGGCACCATGTGGTGGCCTGCTGCAGCTCAGCGGCATCCCGAAAGCTCTTGTAGTTATGCAGTCGCATCTGTTCGGTGACCAAGCGTCTGTACTGCTCACCATCCAGGACGGGATCTCGGCCAGCAGCACGCAAATTGCAAGCAATTACATTTACAATGTCCTCCAGTGCAATGTAGCTGGCTGGGATCTTCTGCAGCAGCATCGGCTCCTTGGATCCGGGCGATCGCAGTTGCATGGCGGTGTCGTAAATTATATTGGCCAATAAATGGATGTTGTGCAAAGTTCTAAAATGGATACCGGTTGTTAATCTTAGATTTTAACAATAAGAAATGACTAAGCACTTACCGACAACTTATTTCGATGGAGTCAATCACCCGCGGCAGCCCGATTTTTTCCGCATCAGGAATAGCGATGAACTTTTCACGAATCAGTTGCTGCAGCTGCTCTGCCTTCTGAGGAGAGATAGATTCCCCGACTGCATCAAAGTGTGTGCCCACAATAATTACGGGAGAGTTGGGAGCCCTAGCTGAATGTTGCCCAGCCACTGCAGCAACTCCGCCAGACCCTTGTGACCATCGCTTATGCGCCATAGGACTAGATATAGACTCCGCTTGGACAAGAAGTACTGGTGGGTGGCGTAGTACTCCTTCTGGCCGCCAAAATCCCAAGTTCGGAACACCACCGGGCCATGAGAGCCGGGCGCCCGCTTCCGCTTCTCACAAATCCAGGTTCCGATGTCCACGCCTACCGTTGATATGTTTGCGCTGGAGGCGGATGAGTGGCGGTGAGTTCTAGATGTGCTGCGGGCGTGTCCCATCCGCTTGGCCCAATGATTTTCGCTGGCGCGAGATCGGTGAGAGCTCGAACTAGAGCCTGAGCCCGCTCCCTGGCGCAGCAAGTCGAGTAGGGTACTCTTTCCGATTCCAGCCACACCCACCACCATGAGCTTCATACGCGCATACGGCTGAGCATCTTCGTAGATAGACTTCAGGTATCCAACGATGTCCATTGTCTTGTGCTTCTTGCTCTCGATCATGGAACGCAATGGCTCCTGCAGGAGGCAGCCACGCGTATTAAGATTCCACAGCCGTGAGAGAAGTCCTAAATGCGGCGGCAGCTCCGTGATATTCACGTTGCCACTTATGTTCAACACTGACAGACTGCTCAGTTCATGCAAAGAGGCGGGAATCTCCTTCAGACAGTTGTTGGTCATGTCTAGCATAGACAGGTTGGGAAATATCACCTTTGACCGGTTCACGCCTACCACACTCCAGTCAGCGTCCTCGCTTTCGTTAAACACCGTTGTGGCGTCATCAGTTGACAGCTGGATGCGGGTAAGTAGGTTGTCCGCCAAGATTAAAGTGCGTAGTGCCTCCAGGCGCAGATGACGCCTGTGCCGGCAAACGCTCTTCAACACAGAGGCACGAAAGGATGTGGAGGAGGAGCTGCTGCCCTTTGATGAATTCGTTTTGTAAGTTTGCTCCTCCTCCCGACCTTCCGGTAGCTGGACACAACTGTAGCACAGTAGGTGCGGATCCGATTCGGTTATCCTTGGCAAACTTGGCCAGCAAGAGATCTCATTGTGGCTTAGATCCAACTGTTTCAGTGTGGCCGGATAGCTTGTTACATGTCCCATGGAACGCAGACTGTTGTACGACATATTTAGGCGGGTCAAATTGACCGCCAGGCAGGGCAAAGCAGCGGGAATACTGGTGAATAGATTATTTGCTATATTCAGGCTACTTAGCTGGGAGGAGCCCAAACCAGGTGTCTTCCCATCGCCGAAATCCTGCTCATGCTGCCACTTCATGTCATTGTCGGTTATGTCTAAAGATGACGACCAGAGATTGCGATGGGTTAGCCGCTGTTCAGACACATTTCGCGGTTTGTTTGACTGCGGCTCCTCGAAGGGCTGCAGCTGCAATTTGTCCAAGCTGAGAAGTGAACTGCTCGTTTGCATCGGCGGTACAGGAAGGTCCCTCAATAGGTTGAAGGCTACGTTCAGTTCGCGCAGCTTAGGCGCACGCCACAAGTCGAAGGGGAGCTGTTGGAGCTTGTTATTCGAAACATCCAGAATAGATAGGGCGGGTAGGTGAAAGATGGCGGCCGGCAAAGTTGTCAATTGGTTGTCCTGCAGGAAAAGCTCATCCAGAACCGGGCAACCATATGACTTACCCAGCGGCGCAGGCAGATCGGTGATCTTATTTTGAGCCACATTTAGATATCTAAAGGAAGAATTTATTAATGTTTTTATTTATATTATTAATTGCATTATTTAATTTTACTTACTTAAGACTAACCAGTTGAAACAACTCCTGTGGAATTGCCGTAAGAACATTGTGCGAAAAGTCAATTCTCGTTATAGCGGTCAGAGCAACCTCATTGAGTCGGGGATGCGACTGCAGCTTGGGATTCAGCAGCAACACACCACTGACCATCCAGGGAACTCTTACCACAGACAATTGCACACTGGAACCCATACTGTGCCAGTCGATGATGGTGGGTACGTTGGGAAACATTGCGCTGTAGGATATGTTGCTAGTGGACGGCAAAAATACGTTCACCTCCACAGGTGTGGGGAGTCCCTTCTTGTTAATCTTGTAGTCAGAGTCCGGATGGACGCGGCGTGCCAAAAGGCGGCTCAGGATGGCCTCGTCGCCTCCGGTCATAGCCATTCCTATGGCAGAACCATTGTCGTCACGGGCTCCATGTTTCAGCAAGAGATCCAACATGGCCAACGACCTTTGCTTGCAGGCCTCTGCAATGGGGACATTGCTCAATCCGTAGATTTCCTCGCAACACTTTGGGTCGTTGTGATCTTCAACTGGCTTGGCCACAATATTCGGATTCGCTCCGTGCTGAAGCAGAGACTGAACCACGTCGAGATGGCCGCCCCGAACTGCCGCTAGCAAAGCCGTTTCCCTCGCTGCTCCACACAGTAGATTAACGTTAATAGGACACCTTTGGCATTCGTTGGACTCTTGGGCAGCCTTGTCATCGGGTCCCTCCGATTCCCCAGATATGTGCAGCTTTGACATGATGGCCTGAATGCCAAACGAAATGCGTTTTCTGGTGGGCGTGATGGGAGTGCTCACCGAGCTGGCGGAATCGCCCATCGTGCGCCGGCACTGGAGCTGCCACTTGAGAAGCACTCCAACCAGTTGCTTGTTTCCCAGGATGCTGGCTATGTACAGACTGGTCTGACCCGTCACGTCGTGGGCGTTGGCGTCGAAGGGCAGCCTCCATTCCCACTGACCCTCCTCGTCGCGATATGTCTGATAGAGGTAGTCGGGATAGCTGTAGCTTATGAGAAGTTCCAACAGCTTGATGTGTCCATTGATGCAGGCGGCGTGCAGTGGCAGCCAGCGCTCTACAGTTGGTTGCTGGATGAGTTCTGGAAAGCGGTCCAGCATCAGGCGGGCGATGCCCAAGTGTCCGCTGTGGACGGCGGCGTACAGGGGTGAGTACTTGGTGACGGCGTGGGAGCGTCCATCCGCCCCAGCATCTAGCAGTCGCTGTGTGATGCTCTCGTAACCGGACTGGCAGGCTCTGAAAAGGATACCGGCATAAGTATGACTCAAAAATTACTAAAAGCAACATATGCTCACATGAACAACAGGGTATTGGCCCCTGAGGGAGCCATATTGACTATAATCTGCCGCTCAGTTCCCAGGGCCGCCAGCAGGACCCGCACAGTCCGCTCATCTCCGGCGCTCACCGCCGTTCGGAGTTCTCCATGCTTGATCTGACGCACTTCCTCCCGCGCATCTGTGAAGGAGGAGTTTCATATTTGTTAGACATATGCTGGCCAAACCTCCCTGGGGCGTTCTTAAATTCCCACCCCGTATTGAGGATGCCTCAATGACCTCATCCACGAAATAGTCGCAGGCCTCCAGAGCGGTTTCAGTTCCAGGTTTGGGCTGTTCCATGCTAAATTTCCAAGACATTATGTAACCCAATTGCCGCGACAAAACCCCAAAAATTAATTGGCATCAGAGAAGCGGACCGAACGCGGCGCTGGCGAAAACTGAACTGGGGAAAATCGATGGCCGTTGCCCGGGCCACGTTTTTGTGGTCATTGATCCAGGTCGGATTTGGACGCACTGCGCAAGACGAGACCGAAGAAGCACGGCAACTGTTGCACGTGGTCAAGGACTGGCATTGTTTTTTGTTTTGATTTCGCGTGGGTGTCGAATGGCCCAGTGGTTGCAGCGCACCAGTTGCTTATTGGGGCAGATGTGCCATTTTGAAGTAAACCATTTTGCGCGCCCACTGCTATTGCACCAGGGTCACCCTGTGCGGGTGCTGGTGTTGTTGAAAAACCAATAACAACTGGTTGGTGATTTAATTGCACCACTTAAGTAATTTGCATGTCAGAGTTTAATGTTCATTTGCACTTTGACCGAGTTAGAAATTGCACAAAACTAACAGATGTATATAGACAGCTTTCACCTGACTTTTCTCACCTTCATCGGAGTCGCTCATTGTTATGTTTGTGTTATTCAGCAGTTCCTCAAGTCGACTCTCATGCTTTTTCCAGGGTATGTGTTTGGAACAATTACTAGTTATAGCATCTATTTTGGTGCTCATTCAACTATTTTGCACATTTTGCGAAATTTTCACTCAGCGTTTTGATTTGTTTACCTTTTTGTGGTGAGACCGTTTGTTGTTTTTAAAAAACACCCAAAATAGATAGCTATGACTATCGGTTGCACATTATGTGCTGTTAAGCGCAAACATGTTGTGATTTTGCAGTGACTGACAACAGAAGCAGGACAAACATGCTTTAAAATTGTTAAATAAATATATTTTATATTTACACATAAAAACTTAATCCAAAACTATTATCATATTTTCTCAAAATATTCCCTGACAAAGTTCTGCCTACACCACTGCCACCAAGCTACCCTGTAAATCATCCATGAATGCCAATGCTGACTCACCCGTGACTTGACTCACAGAAATATAATGGAATTTTATTTAAGTTTAACGTTACATTTTGTGTGATTGAATATTATCTTACTATAACTTATATTTGTTCTTGTCTTATTTCGATTACTCTAAGATAACTCTTTTAAAAACCTTGTTCTTCTTTTGCATGCACTGTTTTTAACACATTGCATGGCTTTTCTAAGTGCCTTCTCCGGGGGTTGAGTACTATCGGCCAATTGAACAGCCTCTGAAAGTAAATATTATTTTGTGGTGTAATGTATTCGGCTATATAAAACCTACCCAGTAGGGCTGAAAAGAAGTTTTCGTATCTGCGCAGGCTTTTTTTGTTTTGCGTTCCGTCGACGTTAAAGTCTACAACTAGGTCCACGGCCAGAACCTTTTTCAACGATTTCGATAGAGGCGCGTGACGGAAGATGTTCACCATCTCTTTTACCTTTTAGCAATGGAAACTATTGTTATTATGGAACTGAATAAAATAATCCAACTTACATATAATACTTGAGTGGGTGGATTCATATTTTTGTCTACTAAAACAGATCGTCTTCTGTTTTTATGGGAAAATCGGTAGGAGCGCCATTTTGTGGCGTCCCGGTCTCCTGGGGTTGGTTGAAGAATAACTTGATCAATTGCGTTTGAGAGGATACTGTTTCAGAGAGCAGGCGACATTTTTTTTTAGCGTCTCAATAGATTCCCGTAGTTCCTGGTTTTCTGCTGTAAAATACAAGTTTGAAACGTATTAATATTTGGCATTAATTCCATAGTAATAAAGATGGTCTCGAACAACGGGTAATTACCTCGAATTGCTGATATTATGCGATCTTCTGCTGATTGATCCAGCTGAGCATTTTCTGCGAAAACAACTAAAACTATATTATATTACTATATATATTATAATACATTTTGATAAAGACTCGCCTGGTTCGGCCTTTGCTCGCCTTTTAGATGGCTGATTATTTGACATTTCCATAATAAACAGATCGTCCAAATGTTAAATTCCGAATAGTAAATAAAAACAAAGCGATTCCAGGGACGCCTAATGAACAGATCGTCCAAATGTTAAATTGGATGCAAAGATGCTCGGACCAAAACAAAACAGAGAGCCAGGAATTCTCGGAGCGGGGTAAGAAACGTAAGTGTCGCCGAACGTAAGTGTCAGTGAAAAGGGAGACAGCCTCAGCGTAAGTGTCAGTAAAAAGCGAGATGCAAGATGCTTCCCAAGTGTCAGCAAACGTAAGCCAACGTAAGTGTCAGTAAAAAGGGAGATAGCCTCAGCGTAAGTGTCAGTAAAAAAGCGAGATGCAAGATGGAGAATGGAAGAGAGAAAAATCACACGCACACACGGTCGAAATTTGAGAGAAAATAAAAACAAAGCGATTCCAGGGACGCCTACAGGAATGCAACCGATTTTCTAGACCAGTGAAGCTGCCAACTCGGTTTCTAGCATTTCGACGCCATCACAACTCAAATGTACGGTCACACGAGAATGTTAGGAGTGTGTCTCGGCTAACGCTCCAACATTTTGATGAGACGTACCGTTGGCATAATTCGGTGTATAAGCCTAGTACTCAGATCGGCTAAGAGTTTCACTAGTCGAAAATCTTATTCTTTGTAGTGTGACCGAAGTTTTCAAAGTTCACCCGCAATGCATGTAGCATGGTCTTACTGTCAGGCAGTTGGGTTTGAAATTTAAATGTAAAAAGGAGGAGTCTGCTGGTACACAAAGATATTAAAATAAAAACAAATGGAATGTTCAACGAATGTTTTTATTTATGTAAATTAGTAGTTTAAAGCTTCCTTCTCGTCCCACGGATGCTTCGCCATCTTTCCCGCTCCACCGCATTCCAGCTCCGAGTCTCGATAGGCATATTGGACCTTGAGGAAGTGGGAGCCGTATTGGGAACGGGGTTGATCCGCTGATGCTGCAGGAAGTCGCCCAGCATCCTGGCAGTGGCTGGCTATGGCTTCTCCAACTGTTCTTTAGCGGGCGCCCTATTTTCCTCCTCCCTATAGGACCCGCTCCTCCAGCTCCGCTTAAGCTGGCAAGTAACTGGTGGTGGTGGTGTCCGGAGTCCTATTGGAGAGGTCGTCGCAGATCGTATTACTGGTGGTTCTGCTGAAAGATATTTCTATTAGTACAACGCGACCAAATTCTTTTGGCCAGATCTTACTTTCTTTGCGAAGACGCGCCCGGCACTATGTCCATGTAGAGATCGAAGTCCCACTCGGCATGTTCCTTCCCACTGGGATTCTCTAGTGGATCTCCTCCAGCACTTCAACTATTCTGCGACTTTGCCCTTTTGTGGAATTGCTTCCTGTCGGTGAAATCCCGCAATAAAGGGCATAAGCTTGTATTTGGCGTCCTATTTCATCTGCTCTGATCTTCTGGATTCGATTTTGGGGTTTTTCTCCCATTTTTAATTTTTAGTTTCCACATCGCCTTTGCACGAACACCGCCAAAGATCAATTTCTTATTCTTTGGGCCGCGGCTAACGGCGTTCATCGAAAATTCACTCGCAAAATCGGGTATTTTTTCTAGTATTTCCTTAGCTCATCTGAGTACCACGCTGTAAAACAGACCCGACGAAAAGCGTTAGCCGCGTATTTGCCTCTCGCTCACTCCTATAGTTAGCTCGCGTTTTCGTCGATCTGAGTACTAGGCTATACCTAATATACCGACGGTATTTCGAATAAGGTCCACGCAAATGTTAGGAGGGTGTATCGGCTAACTTAGCAAGGACATCCTCCAGACATTTTAGCGTGACCGTTTGGAGTACCTGAACTTTGTCCCACCTCTAGCGAGCTGCGGGCACCCTGTGGGAGGTTAACAGACGCTTAACAGCACGTAACTCAACAATACAAATAAAAACAATTAATATTTTTTAATCAATCGCGAGTGTGAGCCGATTGCACAGTGCATTTGAAACACAACAATAGTGCGGGATGGCCGAAGGCGGCCAAAAGTGGTTGCCGGTCCAGGAAAACAAGTAAGGAGCAGCACAAACTGCGCAGCTCACACCCAAAAAAAAAAAAAAGCGATAAAGGCGAGGGCCAAAGTGAAGATGAAAAACAAAAACAAACGGCCCGGGCCAACGGCCAAAATGCCAGTGAAATTCGAATGAAAAGCTTGCGATTCGTGTGCGTTTTTCATGCTCTCCCTGCCTGGCTGCAATTTCCATATTTCTGTGGCATCGCGACTTAGAGAGAGGTGCCGCGTAACTTTTTGCATACCCTTTCCGCGGGCTCAACTCCACCTGTTCGGTCATGGAATTTGACCCGTCGCCTTCGAAATGCGCCCCAAAAGCTTCGATTTGCGAGTTAAATACTTCTTTATCAGTAGATCCATTTAACTAGTTCCCGATTTCTACGTCTCAAACATTTAAGTGGCCTATACCATCTGGTAAATGAATGTTAGGGCATTGAAAGGTCGCCATGGTTCACTCTGAATTCTTGTTTTTGTTTTCAAGTTGACCCCTCCCCCACCCCGCCCATCCTTCAACCTTTGGCAGTGTGATTCATACTAAATATAAAGTCAGCGTTTTTGTTTTAATTAACAAGAACAAAGATTTGAGACAGAGTGGTTTCTTTCTAATTTAAAACCATGGCGAAGGAGAGAAGTCGCCATTTTCCCAGGTGGTTGCAGGCTGTTTAATCCGACGAGGGATCGGGAATCTCTATTGATCTCGGGGGAACCCAGGGGGTCACCTTCTTATCAACGGGTGGGCGGTTGATTTTTAGTAATTTCCGTAATTAGACACCAAAACAATTATCGGTATATCACCATATGTTTTCTTTCAAGTAACCCGGCGCCACCTTCCTATTTATTCGCAGAGATTGGCGAGCTGATTTAAATGGAAAACTTTGAAAACAACAATCTGTTGATAACGAAACCAGCGAAATGCCAACTAACAACTGGAGGCCAAGTCAGAAAGAGTAGTTAAGAGAAGCCAAACCGAAAGCCAACAGGAGGAGCTGGCGATCTTTCCGGTAAGACCCAAAATCCGAATATCGAAGATTAAACAGCCATGAAACTCGCTGGCGGGTCCATCGCCATGATGGACAACCGGTCGATGGCCTACGTTGCCCACCAGCCCAAGTATGAGCTACCGCTGGAGGAGATTGAGCCGCCCTGCATGCGGTTCTCAGTCAACCTATGGAAGAACGATCCACTGGACTGGGTGGAGCTAATCTGCCTGCTGCCCAATGGATTCCTGCTAGGTCTGAGGGTCAATCCAGCCACCACCATCCAGATGGTCAAGGCGGAGATGGTCAACCAGGCCAAGCAGATGCCGCTGAGCTATATGATCAAGGAGGCCTGCGAGTACCAGGTGTACGGCATCTCGACTTTCAACATCGAACCGTACACGGACGAGACGAAGCGCCTGAGCGAACTGCAGCCCTACTTTGGACTGCTCAGCCTGGGCGATCGCACCGATACCACCAGCTTTAGCAGCGACTACGAGCTGACCAAGATGGTCAGCGTGATGATCGGCAAGTCCTTCGACCACCACCGGACGCAGGGCACGCCCGAGATTGACGACTTCCGGCAGTACATGACGCAGGTCTGCGACAACATCGAGGTGGAACGCTCCATCTACACTTGGCAGCAGCGCCTGCTGTACGAGCACCCCCTGCGACTGGCCAACTCGACGAAAATGCCCGAGCTGATACGGGAGCGCCATCCGACCAGGACCTTCCTCATTGTGGTCAAGAACGAGAATGACCAGAGCACGTTCACGCTGTCGGTGAACGAGCAGGACACACCCTTCACGCTCACGGAGAGCACGCTGCAGAAGATGAACCGGTCGCAGATGAAGATGAACGACCGGACCGGCGACTACATACTCAAGGTGAGCGGACGCGACGAGTACCTGCTCGGCGACTATCCGCTGATCCAGTTCCTGTACATCCAAGAGACGCTCTCGGACTCAGCGGTGCCGAATGTGGTGCTGCAGTCGGTGTACCGCCTGGAGTCGTACATCAACCACTACAACGAGGCCATGGTCCCAAAGCGATTGCCGCCGAAGAAGCAACCAGCCCTGATGTCCAAGGCGCCCTCCTCGTTGTGGGACATGGGCAATTTCTTCCAGCTGACGCTGCACAGCATCTCCAATGTGAACTATGACAAGGCGCGCGCCTTCAAGGTGGGCGTCCATGTGGGCCTTTTCCACGGCGACCAAAAGCTGTGCGCACAGAGATCAATAGACTCTCCCAACGGCAGCGTTGACACGTTCCTGTTTAACGACCAAGTTATGGGCTTTGACATACAAATGCGCAATCTGCCTCGGATGACACGCCTCTGCATTGTGATCTTCGAGGTGACCAAGATGTCGCGCTCCAAGAAGTCGTCCAACAACAAGGACAGTGCTCTTAAGGACGTCTCCTACAACAAGAACCCCCTGGCCTGGGTCAACACAACGCTTTTCGACCACAAGGACATCCTACGCACCGGTCGCCAAACGTTGTACACGTGGACGTACGCCGACGACATCCAGTCGGACGAGGTTTTCCATCCGCTGGGCACCGTTGAACCCAATCCGCGCAAGGAGGAGTGTGCTCTGGTGGAAATCACATTCCACGGCAGCGGAACCGGAAACGTGCGCTACCCCAGTGAGGAGGTCGTGCTGCAGTACGCCGCGGATCGGGCGCAGGCTACTCGACTACAGCAGCAGCAGATGTCAGAGCCTGAGAAACCGATCAAAGAACTGAAAGACCTGGTTGCGAACTACACGGGACTAGACAAGATATACGAGATGGTCGATCAGGACCGCAATGCTATTTGGGAGCGCAGGTAAGTCTGCCAAACATAAATGTTATTGTTTCAGTCACATGTAATGATCCTGTAATACTCACAGAAACGACATCATGCGTGAGCTTCCCGAGGAGCTATCCATCTTGCTTCACTGCGTCTACTGGAAGGAGCGGGACGATGTAGCGGACATATGGTACCTGCTCAAGCATTGGCCGCTAATCTCGATAGAACGATCTTTGGAGCTGCTGGACTACGCGTATCCAGATCCGGCCGTAAGGCGTTTTGCCATCCGATGTTTGCACTTTCTCAAGTAAGATTTAATTCTAACATGTGGCCAATATAGTATCATAATTTTATTAACGGGGCTAGAATTGGGATCGCTTAATTTAAGGTCTTCGGAATCATCATTAATTCGAACATTTTTTTCCCCACAGGGACGAAGACCTGTTGCTATATTGCTCCAATTGGTTCAAGCCATAAAGCACGAATCGTATCTGGAAAGCGATTTGGTGGTGTTTCTGCTAGAGCGAGCTCTCCGCAACCAGCGCATCGGACACTACTTCTTCTGGCACCTGCGCTCCGAAATGCAGACACCGTCTATGCAAACGCGGTTTGGCCTCCTGCTGGAGGTCTACCTCAAGGGCTGCAAGCATCACGTGGCGCCACTCCGCAAACAGCTGAATGTTCTGGAAAAGCTGAAACAGGGATCTCTGATAGCCAAGAAGGGCAGCAAGGAGAAGGTTAAGACCATGCTGCAGGACTTTCTGCGGGACCAGCGCAACTCTGGGGTCTTTCAGAACATCCAGAATCCACTGAATCCCAGCTACCGGTGCAGCGGCGTAACACCAGACAGGTGCAAGGTAATGGACAGCAAGATGCGTCCGCTGTGGGTGGTGTTTGAGAACGCCGACATGAACGCCAACGATGTGCACATCATTTTCAAGAATGGTGACGATCTCCGCCAAGACATGCTCACGCTGCAGATGTTGCGGGTGATGGACCAGCTGTGGAAACGAGATGGGTAAGCATAAATGCAGTAAACTATACAAGAACGGGTTAATAAAATCTTTACCCTCCGTCAGCATGGACTTCCGCATGAACATCTACAACTGCATCAGCATGGAGCAGCGCCTTGGCATGATAGAGGTGGTGCGGCACGCAGAGACCATTGCCAACATACAGAAGGAGAAAGGCATGTTCTCGGCCACGTCGCCGTTCAAGAAGGGCTCGCTCCTAAGTTGGCTCAAGGAGCACAACAAGCCCGCCGACAAGCTAAACAAGGCCATCAACGAGTTCACTCTCAGCTGTGCTGGCTACTGCGTGGCCACCTATGTGCTTGGTGTGGCCGATCGGCACTCGGACAACATAATGGTCAAACGAAATGGACAGGTAAATGCAAATTCCTTGTTTGCCAAGGAAGTAATTAAAACGTAATCTTGTTTGTAGCTCTTCCACATTGATTTTGGCCACATCTTGGTCATTTCAAGGAAAAGTTTGGAGTGCGTCGGGAACGAGTGCCCTTCGTATTAACCCATGATTTCGTTTACGTGATCAACAAGGGTTTCAACGACCGCGAGTCAAAAGAGTTCTGTCACTTTCAGGAATTGTGCGAGCGCGTAAGTTAAAAACAAAGAACAAATTAGACGAAATACTAATATAATTTAAATTTGCAGGCCTTTTTAGTTCTACGCAAACACGGCTGCCTTATTTTATCGCTGTTCTCAATGATGATTTCAACGGGACTGCCAGAACTTTCCTCCGAAAAGGATTTAAACTACCTACGTGAAACTTTAGTATGTCTTGGAGAGCAATTATATGGCGAAGCTCAAACTAACTCATCGCTATGTTCTGTTTCAGGTGCTGGACTACACGGAGGAGAAAGCTCGCGAGCATTTCCGAGCGAAATTCAGCGAAGCTTTGGCTAACTCCTGGAAGACTTCCCTTAATTGGGCCTCGCACAATTTCTCCAAGAACAACAAACAGTAAACAGACAACTACATCACATCAACATCAAGAAGTTGGCATCACGATCGATTCGGAGTCAACTCCATCTCGCACACAAACAAGACCACTCACCAAGTCTAAATGGATCCACATTTCTTTTCTGCCTGCCCTCTGAGCCTTTGCTACAGGCGTAGTACAATTTTGTATCCAATTCATAAAGTTCAAAACTATGTGTTCACTATGTTAGGCCGAGATATATTCAATCCCCCCACACAGACAACCCCTGACCCATAGCTTATAATGTCGCTCCCACAAGTGCTCCAATATACTTTACTGTTAATTTGTACATTTACGTGTTCACCCATTCTTGTAATTCGAATCATTTATCACCCCCGCATTCAGTGACCTTTGGACCCTGGAATTGTTTGTTGTCTATTATTCATTTGTTGTTTAAACACCCCCGCACATGCAAACTCGCGCATAACGTGCAAAAAATTGTATCCTATTATGCTATATAAGTTTAAGAGACATTTAACTCTATAAGTTTAAATTTAATGATTGCTATCCCTACATTACGATTAATTGTGTACTATAATTTGTGTCTGCTTTTGTACCAGCAGCCAATCATTACTTTGTGTTTTCCGGTTTCATTTTATAGTGTTCTCTAATATTTGTAACGTATTTTGTAAATCATGGATAACTACAATTAAATGAAATAAATTAAATAAATATAAACGAACGAATGTATACAATTTAATCGAAACAAGAAAAATATATATACAATTGTGCTTCTACGTTTACGATAGACTGCGGTTTTTAAATATGTTTTGCATAGGCAACTAGGGGAGATTCTTGGATGGGTGTTTGTTATTTTTGGGTATATTACTAGTATTTATTTCCCTATCGTCGATAGTTGATCACTAGAGAATCTGACGTAGTACTCGAGTGGCGGTAGGATTTTTCTCTCAAGTTATGGAGTTAACCCAATGTAAACACTTTTTTGGAGTAATAGGATTTTTGGCTCACTCAATTGGTAACTCCACATAGTGTGGAAAGGCTTGTAGGCTGAGCGCCTACTCCCCAACTCAGCAAAACGTTCATGTATTAGTTTTTATACATTTAGTATAGTTTTTATTGACATCAAGTATTCAGTTTCAGTATATATACCTATATAAAATATATTTCTTTAAGATTAATTTTGTTTCCGTTACTTTACACACATTTCAACATCCCGAGGTGCAGTATTTGAAACCCTTTTCTTACTTTTTATATTTCACGTTTTGCCAACATTATTTTCGGGTTTGCGCACATTGTTCGACAATGCACGTAGTACATGTGCTTAACAATAGCAACTCTCAAAGACATCGATAGTTAAATTATAAACACTACCATTCAATAAAACAAAAACGTCGTACACAGTACCGTTGTAAATGTAAAAATAAAATAATAGTCCCTAGACGCCTAGCTAACTAACTAATCAGTAAATAGTAAAAACCGTATGGAATTTTTGTGGAAATTTTATTTATATTCGTTTAGGATATCTTTCGTAACGCTTACTTAAAAGGTTAGGCGAATGACGCTTGCTTAAACATTTCCACTGCATTCAGTGTAGGACTTCAAAATAACCTGAATCTACCCATTTTTCCATTGGAAAACATTATTTTCTACCTTGAACAGCATTTACCCAGTGAGTAAAATATTAAGCAAGTTTCAATCGACCTTGTGCAAACTTTTCTCGACCTCAATGGAATCTTTTTGTTTTTATTCTGCGTAATCAGATACAAAATATACAGTATTTTGTTAAAATCCGTTATAAAAATAGTTATATTAAATATATTGGTTATTTCTCGTGTATCGGTTTACTCTGTTGTCGTGTAAAAATACTGTATTTACAATTACAACTATTTACTTACACATTATCATATCAGTAAATATAAATAGTCATTTGATTTATATAAATAATTTAGAAAATATGAGAAACCGCGTTTGTTTTTGTCTTTTTGCGTTAGGAATATGTTTTTTTTTTATTTGTATCAGTTTCAGTTGTACGAATTCCGGTTTGAAATTGTCTGTTTAGGATCTTTTTGCTTTTTTTGTAAATATTTTGTATATGTGAATTTTTGTACATTTTCATTTGTTTTTGATTGGACAGCATTGACAGTAATATGCACTAGGTAAAGAATTACAACTGTTAGATATTAACCACAATTGTGAGGGATAAGTTTAGATCCACCTAGGATTTAAACTTAACCTTCACAAATTACTTTTTCGACTTTTTAAAAACGAAATGATAAGCTTAGAATCAATCAATGAATTAAGGAACTTCCGAAAAACTCATTCAATGGCTCTAAGAAATACAGGATAAAATTTGGTTGGAATGTTTGCATTTCTGAATTGATTTGGAATAAGTATTCCAAAATAATTCAAAAATACATTCCTAGAACATACAATAACATTTATAATCGTAAATAGTCTACCCAGTACAATTTCCTGTCGATTGCTTTTTGGACCTCGATATTTGGGACATCTAAATTTTTCCCATAAAATATCTGTAAATGTTTGCATTTATAGTTCTTTTCTAGTAAATTTGTTTTCTGTTTTACACATTAATTTTTGTATCCCTAGTTTTACTTTCATCTTTAAAGGCACAAGCATTTTATAAAAATCTGTTCTTGTAGTTTTGTTAAATATACTTTAAAAAGTTATATGCTGCGATCCGTAACTAAGTTTTTCTTTTTTTTTTCTAAAAAATTCAGGTTCAGTCTGTTTCAAGGAAATGTTTTGATGAAAAAAACGTAACTCTTTTTTGAGATTCTTCAAGACTTGCATTTTATACATCCTATAGAAAATGTTTTAATAGTAGGTTTTACTTTTCATTAGTCGGCATAGAATAAAATTCCTTTGCATATTTAATATGTTGGTCGAAAATTCATTTCTCAACTGAGTGTATAAAAAGTTCTGGAACGGGTTTAAAAACATATTTAATTTTTTTCCTCGTCGTTTTTTCTCTTTTCGTATGCGTTTTTTAAATGTTCGGCCTTAATTGAGAACCTAGGATTAGGCTTAGGCTAAAACAATTAGGTTAAGACTAAACTAGCAGCGAACTTATCAAATAATATTACGTGTAGTTGAATGTCGTCTTAAGCGCTACTAGTGCGAAAATGTACTTAACTCGATGGTTGGCCCAGAAACTGGGGCAGCTGGGGCGTGTGTATGTCTCAGTGCTTTGACAGATTCAGTGGTAAGTCTGGGGAGAGAAAGAATTCGTATTTAAATTGTGTTTTTTGTGCATTAAATGATATTCAAGTCAAAAAAATCATTAAAGCTGATATGAGTGAAGTGTTCGTGCAGAAATACTAAATATGCAGCTACTGCCGTCACTAGGAAAATGAAAACTTCATTTCGTTCCGCGTCGAATATAGATAAATTTAAAAGAAGTTGATATTGGTTACCACCCTACGATTTTCCAATTCCCAACTGGATGCTAAAAACTCATATTGATTTGCTCACCTGAACTTTGTTCATTCCTTAGGCTACTAGTATGAAACATTGCGGAGGAGCTGGCGCCGGAAGGGGCCGCCGAGGAGGAGGCGGATGCGCTCGAGCTGCTCGGCGAAGTGGAGGCGGTGCGATGACTGGACGCTGCAGACATTTGGTCGGTACTACTATCAGTCAGTTTTGGCGTGGCCAGGTGAGCGGGCGAGTGGTGGGTGGTCAGTGCAGCCGGATGAGGATGCTGGTGCGGATGGGCCAAGTGCGGATGCGTGTGGGGACTGGGGGCGGGTTGTCCGAAGGCTCCGGCAGCTGCAGCAGCCGCCACCACTCCGTTATAGGCGAACGCATGATAGGCCGATTGTGGCGACAGTCTCGCAGCAGCAGCAGCTGCAGCCGCGGCGGCCGCAGAGCTGGCGGCTTGCGGATGTGTCGGAAGCAGGGGCGATGCTCCGGCCTGATAGTGGTGCATCCACAGCGGACTGTGCCTCAAGGCCGCCAGTGTGGATATGTACGGATGGTATAGCGACGGCGACACCACCGAGGGAATGTAGGCTGCTGCGGCCGCAGCTGCCGCCGCTGCTGCAGCTGCACTGCTGCTAGACGTGACCGGCGCCGATGTCGGACTCCCGCCCGAACCATTGCCGTTCACCTGAGGCGCTGGCGGATACATATAGTAGTGCAGCGGCGAGCTGCGCTGCAGGTGCGGCTGCTGCTGCATGTGCCGCCGGTCCGGAGGCGAGGCACTCCGATCGCCGGGCGAGGGACAGCTGCTGCTGCTGGCCGACGGCGAGGCGAACTCGCGTCGGATCGATGCAGTCTTTTTGGGCACAGTGCGCGGCGTCGTAGCGGGCGATGCTGGCGAGGAACGCGGAGGCGACAGGTCCTGCGATGCTGAGCTTGTTGTCGGTGGACGACCTGCACCCGCATAGGGATCCCTGTAGAATGTGTGACCATAGTCCACGGGAGAGCCCGCCGTGTACGGTGGTGACCGCTTCTTAGTTCCAGAGTGCGAGGGTGACTTCCCGCCGCCTCCATTGCTGCCGCTCACATCCGGAGACTTGGGCGAGGTGAGCAACGCGCGTGGATAGCTCGAGGAGCTTGGCTGGTACAGGGAGTGGTGCGGGTGGTGCACATTGCTGATAATAGCCGCCGGATGATCGCCGCCCTTCTTGCTGGAGGAGGAGGATGTGCTGCCGCTGCCACTGCTTCCACCCAGCAGCGAGTGGATGCTGTAGGAGCTGTTGAGTCTCGTGGGCTGCGTTGATACTGCCGCTGGCGAAGTGCTGGTTGAGCTGGATGCGGAACTGGCACTCGGCTTTCCTTGGGGTGGGGCCAGATTCATCGGCGACGCCTTGCCAGCCGGTGATGATGTCGAAGAGGCCTTTGCCCGGCTCCGTTTTCCACCCGCTCCCCCGCTGCTACCTCCAGCGCTGCCGTTATTTACGCATCCGTTGTCCTCCAGCGACACCTTCTCGAACTCGCGCAGGATTCTCTTCCTGGGCGACACGTGCTGGTGGTGGTACTCGACTAGACGGCTGGCTGCTGTTGCCGACGAGGGCGGAGAAACCTGAAAAAAGACATTTAAATGGTCAGTCTTGACTGTTTGTTGCAAACTTTAAAATTTAATCTTGTTACTGGACTTTTTACCGATTTTAATTTGAAATTGCTCTCGAAAACTTAAACTTTAGACGTGTGAATTAAATATTCGTTAAAAATCAAATGATTACAAGCAATTAACATGCTTCATATTCAATGAAAACTGGGATAAAACCAGAAATTGGACGTTTATCGAACCTATGTAGAGTTCAAACGAAACTCACCTTGTGCGTCAAGGAGTGGCCTAGACTGCCGATGGCTCCACCACGCTCTGCTGACGCCGTACTCGTTGCGGATACCGCTGGAGCTTTCGACAGTTGCTCTAAGCGTGCTGGTACGCCATCGATTAGTTTCTGGATGATGCTGCTGAGCTTGGCCCGAGGTTTTGGCTTTGGTTTCCCAATTCTCGTCTTGAGGTCGCCGTTTATTTCACCGTTCACGGGATTCGCGCTCCTGAGCGGCGCTGTCATGGCTTCCTCGTCCTCGCTCGTATTCATCTTCTCCACAGTCTCCTCTTTTGGTTGTGCATCCACCTGCAGAGCGGGCGATGCTACTTTTGACTCACTGTCATCGTCAACCTCTTTCTTGGGTTCCTTCTCAGGCCTTTCAGCATCTTCCTCGCCTTTGATCGTTTCCGGTTTTTCAGTTTTAA